CAGCCGATCCTCTGTCAGTTAACGCATGTGGTTTGGAGTTTGGTTTTGAAAGAAATAAATTGGGCTATTTTTTTGTATTAATTGACAGTGATTTTAAAGCTGCACTGCATAACACTTTCTAGGGTGGAGGTGGAGGGCCCAAGCCAGGCTGGTGCCACCTAGTCCCACGTAATTCCCATTTTCATTTCACTCCAGCAACTAGGTCAGGAATCAAAATACAATAGACAGTTCGCAAAAACCTCGGAAGTGCAAGTTCGGGCACCAGCCAATCAGCGAAGACTCAAATATTCAGAGTTGTCAATGATTCCGAGCTCGAGGATTTAAAGCCGGAACAAAGAGAATATTTGGTGAATTTCATAAAGGGGAAAGACTTTATTGTCCTTTTTCCTATGGGATTTGGGAAAAGCTTAATATACCAATTAACCCCGTTAGCGGCGCATTACATACGCCACGATCAAATAGCAGTGATTGGTTAAAGGATAAAAAGTACCCGGGTACCATCGAGCGAACGAAATCTAAGACTGCGAGGTCAGACGGTTTCTACGAAGTGAAACGAAGTAAAACCGGCTGATGAATCAGTGTAGAAGGGCCCACCATTTCCATGGAAATGTTATTGATTTGTGCAGAGAGCGTGGAGAGTCACCCCTGTTCACGGGGGTTGTGTTTTTGAGCAATAGAAACTAGAGGTCTGTGCGGGACAGAATTTTCAGTCTCGCTCTTGCCCGCTACCACATTGTGCAGTCCCGCTCCAGCCCGCGCCCGCAAAGAATTATAACTTCCATTCCCGCTCCCGCCCACATCTGTGATATTTTGTCCCGCTCTCGCCCGCAGGTCCTGCAAGATGGGGACGTTCGCTTTCTTAAGCTCTATCAAACACGGAGAAGCGGAAAGGAATTGTCTAAAATGTGCGCAAGATTAGGCCACGTCCGCAAATTTAGGCTGCTTAAAATGTTTTTATTAATGCCAAATAAAATATCCAGCACAATTTAGGTGTAACAGGCATACATTAATCATTTGTATATTTTACTTTACACTCATATTTAGTTTGCGGGACTGCAGTTTATCATCCCACCTGCCCGCTCCAGCATTATACAGTCCCACTCCTGCCCGCTCCCGCAATGAGCTTACAAAATGTCAAACTGTTTTGCGTTGGGTCCTGCGGTCAGCACATGGCTCTAATAAAAACACCCCTAATGAATAAATCCTAGATAGATATGCTTAATGTCATACTTTGGAACATTCCAGGCAAAGCATTAGCATCTCCATGGAGACAAGTAAGTAGCGGACCGTCCACCATAAAAGTTGCGCAGTGCACCTTTAAGTCTGGAGAAATAAAATCAAATAGATCAATCAATGTGAGCGAAAGAGAATCATGATTTATTTTTTCTTCTCTTTTATCACACAGCCTATAAATTAATCTAATCCACTGCAATCATAACATTCACCCTTTTTTTTATATTTTGCAATATCCTGTGTTATATTCCTCTTGAAGCCAGTATTCCCGTCTCTGAGCAGCACGAATGAGACCTGTCGTTGGTGGAACAGCTGTGCGCCCGGCCCTCCTCCCTCCATGTACCCAGGATAATAGCCCTAAGTCCTACGCTGCAATTGAATCAGAGCGGGCCCCATGTCAACCACAGCTGCTCCTATTACACTGTGAGAGAGGAGGAAGAGGAGCAGGAGGAGGAGGGGGTCGAACCATGCGCACGGCAGCCCCTATTGCACCCGCACATGTACGCACCGATACGCGAGGCTGCGGAGCTCGTTCACAGCCAAAATGATGGTGACAGAAGCAGAGATAGGGGTCACGCTACAGGGAGCCGGTGGAGGAGCAGTGCACGGAGACCATAAAGAAACCCAATCTCCAGTTTAATTTCTATCTGGCAAGAAAAAGCGGATGTTGTGGAGGAAAAAATTATATACAGGAAAAACGACTGTGAGCCAGAGGAGCCAAAGGATAAAATGGAAGGACATACAGTCTTGATTTTTTGTTCTGTCAATATTTTTGTGTAAAAGAATAGATGATAGTTTTGAATATACTCTACCACAGGCACAGTAACCCTAAAGCAGGATAAGGATTTTTAAAGTAAATACAGTATATAATAAAAAAAATAAAAATCATTAGTATAACATCAGAGAGTCCTAGATGTTAATTGCTCAATTCTCTACAGCTCAAACAGACAACAAAAAACGATAAAATGATATAGAAATTATTGTGACAGGCTTAGTGGCTTTAATTTTTATGTTTCATGTGGGCTTGAAACTTCCTTTATGATTATGTTAAGTTATGATTTATTTCAAACTAGTCTCCTTATGGTGGCCAATATGGACTACTTTGGTAAATGGTAAATCACATATTTATATAGCATTTTTCCACTTTTCCAAGCTCTTTACATCAAAGAACCACTCACCATTCTCACACACACACACTCATACACCAATGTACGCAGACACTGTGTACGTGATTAGTGAGAGTGTATTATCACACTTCTATGGGGTATTAACTGTTAACACATATTTAACACATATTTAGATAATCATGTTACTTTTATTGTTCTAAAAATTGTGTATTTGCCAAAAACAACGTATTCATGTATTAAATAAGTTTCAGTTTTCAGACACTCCCCCTTCAGAGTGCTCACAACACAATCAGTATTCTGTTATTGAAACTAGAGCACATCACATCAGGTTTGTGAAGTTGTAGTGTATTGTTCTGTGTCATGCTTTTGTATATTTATAGACAGCTGTTGTACAGGAGCATGGGTGATGTAGGCTCTGGGCTGAGCATTGGACAGAATCGTACTGCTAACTGCAAGGAGGGCTCGAATAAGGCCTAGGAGAGATCACAAAATTATGCACTTACTATAAAACTTTGGTAGAAATCTCCAAAAAGTCGATTTTGCATAATACACCCTTTTTAATAGTCTTTATCCTCTTTGAAGTTTTCCTTAGTTAAAGCTCAAAGAAAACAGGACCAAACTGTTGGAGACTGCACAGAGAAACAAATTGGAGACCATCAGTCAGTCAAACCAAATGAAGGCTGTAATAAGGTGAATTTGATGCCAGTGTTTGGTCTGAGCCATGTGACCACCTCAGGCCGGGTGTGGTTCAGTGCTCTGCCGCCTCTCATTTAAAATCCAAACATCTCTGTTTTGCCTGGTAACATTATCTCTGGTATAACATCAAAGAGGAAAAGACAATATGGTGGCAATAAGAGACGAGAGTGGATAAGTGTTTAGACTGCTGGAAGAATATAATATTACTTTTGCTGCATTGTGAGCTCCCAGACCGATTCTTAACCACAATTACTTTGATTTGTTTAGCTGTAACAACTACCTTCTACCTTAAAGGACACGTATTATGGAAAAATGACCTATTTGAGCTGTTAACCATGTTTTATAGTTGTCGTCACATCGAAATACCAGGAGTTGTATTTTGCCTGATTCATGTTTATTAACTTAATCCTGTTTATGATATTGTCTTCTGTGGTTACTCACTGAATTTTCTACAGATTGTTGTACCATAGATCAAAACCTGAACTTCTACACAGTTTTTAAAGGTTCATTATATAACATTTCTGGTGGAGGGTCTGCCACATGCTTGCCTCTATGGAAATGCTGTTGTTTTGCTCATATATAGCATTAAAGTCGTATATCTCCATGAAGATCAGAACAAATTACACGTTAGATTTGTGGCAATGCATAGTTTTTTACGTAAATGTAAATGTTTCTAAATGTGAGTAATAAAACAGCTATAATAAATGAAAAGATTAATAAGTGTAATGGCATACTATGGAACATTCCAGGTAAAGAAATAACATCTCCATGGAAGCAAGAAGGTGGATGACCCTCTCCCAGAAAAGTTTCTTAGTGTCCCTAACCATCATCGAACTCATTCTGAACACTTTTGTCACCTTATTGTGTTGATGACAAATGCTCTTATTAGTGTAGCATTATTCATTTATGTATTTGTTCATCATTCTTTGATACCAGATGGCTCTTCTTCTATTTACTTATACGTCATTTGTAACAGAGATTTTGTATTAAAGTGTCTTTTTCTTTATTTTAAGTTAGAAAATCTGAAATACTAATGCCTTGGTGAAAGGCATGTTTATAATCTAAAGCCACAAGAATGCATTATATGTCCACGAGTGATGAATAATAAAATGTCTTCTAAATGACTAGAAAGCATTTTAACATTATACTAAGGGACCATGTAGAATCAAAATTTTACAGCAACATGTATTTCTTTGGACTCATGACTGACATATTTGGATCTGGTGGATCTTTGTTTGAAATTCCATAGAAGCAACTGGGCTGATTTAATGAACCATTCTAAATGCGCCGGATCATGAAAATTCCCTCAGGGGTTTCCCATTTGACACAAACGTGCATTGGATGGAGCCATTCACAATAATGCTTTTTTCAGTTTGGAGAAGAAAAACATCTATCCAAGGCTCATGATGGTCATGATACTAACACATCCAAAATGAAAAAGAATAAATAAAGAAAAAAACTATATTGGTTGAAGGACTTTATAACCTCTCACAGGAATTTCACTTGGGGCAAAAATGTTTTGAAATATAATTTATTTGGAGTTTTATTGTAACAGGATGAGATTATTTATCCAAAATGTTCCCTTATCATTATACACTTTCATTCCAGTACCAAGGTTAAAATGATTTGATGCTAGATTCTATTTGTGTTTGTTGGCCATGATATCATCATATCAACTGTCATCTCTACTGTATTTGTCACGTCCAAGACCAGTTTAAATAAATAGAAATCCTAAAACTTACAAATTTAAAATTTTAAAATAACTGATTTAGTAGTATACAGTATACTATACAGTATAGTATTGTAGGCCTATTATTATTATTATTAGAATGTTGAAATTATGTAAGATATAATTATGTTTATTGCTCACACACAACATTGTACATAAAGCAATGGCACAAGTTTATTTTATTTTTTCAATTTCAATTTTCCCTATCACTACACATAGGCAGTGCAGCTGTCGAGCAGGTTGATTCTCTTGATGTCCCAGGGGACTGAGCCTGTGCTGGGTGATGGAGCCATAGTCGTAGGGCGTGCCCTGGTTGTTGGTGTCAGATCTATAGAAGTTATAGGCCATGGAAGGGTCCATATTGGCCCAGTTGATCCAGACGTACTGGTCATGGTCACTCCTGGTCTGCTCGTACTAGAAGCCCAGAGTGTGGTTGAGCTCATGTTGGATAACGCCTTTGAAGCCACAGCCCCATCTGCTGAGAGACAGCACCTGTCTGCCTCAGACACTGGGCTAAGACATTGTGAACTTCAGTGTGGTCCACAGTAACAGCAGGAGCAGAGACACTGCACACACGTCATGTGTCTTTATACTGTTCTCTACAGGTGTGTCCTCCAGGATTATGGGCTGCTCCCACAGCACTAGGCCCAAACTAAACATGGCCAATGGTAAACCACTCACAACAAAGAAATAAAAACAATATGGTTTTAAGCTTATAGCTTCCACCTGTCTAACTTTTCAAAGTTCCTGTATTCAAATTAGTTTCTCCTGATTTTGAAATTTTATCAGGCCAGAACATGCAGGTGTTTTTTTTGTTTGATTAGATTTTTAAAGGAATTTAAACCACCTGCCACACATGTAGTGTCAATGTGAAATCTGGTAGTAACGAAATCAGTTCCAATTTCCATTTCTGACTGACTATATTTGAGGTTTCTATATATTCTATACCATGCATTATTAACTATAGTAATCTACTAGGTGCACTCAAACACAATTATAGATACACCAATATACAATATTCTGTACCTGTTACATAATTTTGTGACTCGTTTGCTGTTGGGACCACTTATTGAATAAAGACATTTTGCCAATAACACAGTTCATAATTTTTGTCTTTATATAACACAGTACAAATAATTTACAAACAAAACCCAGTGTTCTACTATTGTTGCTTTATCTGGCTTCATTGCTTTGCTTTGTAAATGTCATCACACCAGAGTCCATTGAAAACTGTTTTGGTTCCTATAATGGTGTTTACTGTTTGGTCAAGAGGTCGGATGGTGACACAGACAGTGAACCATGGTAGAGATGCTTCTGTGCCCTGTGTGTTTGGAAAACCTTATAAATTATTGATATGAAGCTGATGAATCTTTGATATGGAAGGGGTGAACTGTGCTAAAACACACATGTGGGGGGCTGCTGAGGTGCCACTGTTGACTTAGCATTATTTATTGATTCACTCTGAGTCTCCAAAGATGTACAGGCGAGGATCACGATGGGTGGGCAGACTGACTATTCAAACCTGATTGAATTTATAGATCCAGCGGTAGTCATCTTATAAAATCAAAACCTGTTAGAGCAAACAGGACACGCTACTGTAAATGAAGAGAGGGATTTGACTAGATCAGCTACAACAGAAGAGTGCATTGTACATAATTTTCTTTATAGTTTCGGTCTATTTTTCCTGAAACACCTGACTAAAGTGAGCCTCAGTTCAAAGAGATTCTGTGTCTAAACCCTTTAGAGTACAGACAAATGGCAGGATTCTTTGTGAAACCGAGGCTATGTAGTTTTGATCTCTGTCTAATATTCTCTTATAAGTAGGAACAAGGTTTGACGTTTAATCTTGCATATTGTCTAAATTATTATATAATATTCAGAAATGGGCAATTACCATTTTCCTTGTAGGAAAATTACAGAGTTATTTAGGCATAAGGATTCCTTTCTGAGTTGAAGGATTTGGCATGGCAACATTCCTCCATTGTTAACACAAATAAATTAAAATATTACATCTCTTGAATAGGGAAAGGTCCTCACAAAAGCCTTCAAATCAGGAAGGAATCAATAATCTGAAACCCATGAATAAGCTAATGTCTTTTACTTGTCAGTATATACATATATTTTACTGTAGTAATGGTGTGCATAAAGAACCAGTCTGTAGACAGGTGTTTTCCCATGAGCCTCTATGTCTGTCTGTCTGTGGTATGTGTGTCTGGAAACATTAACCTCGGTCTCTGTGCTGTCTCTTACAGTTAGCATTGCTATGACTTCATCTTCTAATGGATCTGAGGCACGCTGACCGGCACTGGCCTTTTTCTACTGTTTACCACAAGAGTGCGAGAGCAGCTCGCTGCAGACATTACTGCACACATGACTAATCACATTTATTCACAAGAATGAAAGAACTCATTATAGTCAATAGCTACATCTAGTGGTTGTTTTTGAGACTGCATGTCACACACAAAACCCAAATAATTTCCCATGCTTAAGTATAGTTTATTTTAGCCAACAACAAAAGACATTTTGTTGAAATGACATGAACTCAATCTTACAGGCACTGACATAAGCATACAGACTTGTATCACTACAGTTAGGCAGTGCAGCTGTAGAGCATGTTGATCCTCTTGATGTCCCAGGGAGACAGAGCCTGTCTCTGTCCGATGTAGACCTGGGTGTTGGAGAGGGGGGTGATGGTATCCCGACCATTGTTGGAGAAGGCCGTTCTTCCGTAGTGCATGATGGAGCCATAGTCGTAGGGCGTGCCCTGGTTGTTGGTATCGGATCTGTAGAAGTTGTAGGCCATGGAAGGGTCCATATTTTCCCAGTTGATCTGGACGTACTGGTCACGGTCACTCCTGGTCTGCTCGTGCTTGAAGCCCAGAGCGTGGTTGAACTCATGTTGGATGACCCCTTTGTCTACACAGCCCATTCTGTTGAGAGACAACACCTGCCTGCCTCTCTGTCTCCCCAGAGAAGAGAAACAGCCGCTCTGGTTCTCGATGGTGATGTAGTCATACTGGTTCTGACGGGGGACAAAGCGGATACAGGTTTGGCTGTGGAAGTCCCTCAGAGCAGAGCTGATCACCTGCGTCTCATAACTGCTGAACTCCCTGCTCACAGTGTAGGGGACGGTCACCAGGCCGTCAGAGCCTTTGGGCCAAAGGCAACTGTTGTACCAGCACTTCATGGCGTTCCTGTGTGTGGGAGGCAGCAGGTCTCCTTCCAGGAAGAAGGCGTCAGACTGGTTGTTGGAGACCAGGATCCTGGTGCTAATGTCCACAGTGTCGTCCTGTAGGAGCTGCTCTTGTCCACTGTATGGCTCAGACAGAGGCTGGGCCTGACAGGCTGCCAGCAACAGCAGCAACATAGACACACTGTGCAGAGACATGGTGAACTTCAGTGTGGTCCAGAGTAGCACCAGGAGCAGAAACACTGCACACACTTCATGTTACTGTGTCCACCCAGTGTCTTTATACGGTCCTCTACAGGTGTGTCCTCCAGGCTTATGGGCTGCTCCCACAGCACTAGGCCTAAACCAAACATGTCCACTGCCAACACCTCAGAACAAACAAACATAGCAACACCTGCTCAAATTAGCTTAAATGTGGCCAGACCTCCTTGTCAAACCCTGATCTGATCAGATCTCAGAAGATAAGCATGGCTGGGCCTGGTTAGGTCTTAGAAGGGAGACTGGTGGGAAAATCAGGTGCCACAGTGGGATGCCAGTAGCAAAAACTGTTGTTGTGTGCCTAGTGTGAAAGTACTGTGCGCTTGAGTGTTAGTGGTGGTCAGAGGGACCCTGGGTTCAGATTGGTACCCTCACTTCCATCAGTCTGCCTCAGAGCAGCTCTGGCTATGAAAGGTTGCTTACTACCTCCGATTATGGAGTGAATGAATAATGCACCAAATTGTAAAGTGACTTTGAGCATCTGGAAAAGCACTATATATGACTAATGCATTATTATTATTATTAAATACTGTTTCCACTGGTATTTAAGAAATCATTGTCAAATATTGCTAGTGCTTCATGTAAATAGACTTCAGCTTTATATTTTCTAACCTTGTTGTAAACAAATTTTCTACTCCGTCAGTCAGAGCTAATATGACTGCTGTGGTCATGCAGTCTGTGTAAATTTGATTCTGTTTAGGTCCACTCTGCCTCTCTTCCACAGACCCTCTGTTCATTCATTCTACTTCTTTGAGTGTGTGTGAGTGATGTGTGGCTAGCATGGGGAGATGGCTTGAAACTGACCGATAGCTAGTAGATGTCTGAAGATTAATTTCATATGTGTCCGGACCCTTGCGTCCAGGACCTTTGCATACAGAACCATTTGACTCAGCTGCTGCAAAGCACTATAAAGTTTAATAAACCTTAGTACACACATTGGTACACATTGATTCAAAATTTAAATATATATATATATTAACCTTATCGATATTTGCACTAATTTAAGGAGATATTTAGTATTTTTTTTTAAAAATACATAAATGGACAAATGTCAGACCTTTCTCAAGAAGTTTTAGAATGAATTAGACATATAACAGAACTGTAAGATCACATTTTGTGTTGAATAGCTGATACTATTTAACAAAAGTAGAGTTAATGTATTATCACTGCTGTATTGAAATTGGTGTAGAGTATTGAGCCTTTTCTTTTGTGTTGAAATTAAGTTTGAAATTTGACTATTGTGGCAATGTCACATAGCTATAAATATTCAGGTCAAGTTTTGTCCTTTCTACTGTGGCTCAGTAAATACATATTTGACTTCATTATACCTGCCCCAACCTGACAGGACAGACAAGATAGTAATACTATAGGTATACTGTGTTTGTACTCTATTTAACTGTCAACAACCACTAGAGGGACATATTGTAACTTTAAACAAGATGAGCAAGGGGCAGGAGTATGTACTTTCTGTTCAAAGTAAACATGGTGTTAAATGTTGTGTTAAATGTATTAATTTACCATTGTTTATTAGTTCTCCTTATTGCCTTATGCACATTAAAAACTTTTTTTATTTATTTCTATTGCACTGTCCAATTACATAGAAGTTCTGACACTTCAAAACTAAATCATATATAATGTACAGAGAATGCACATAGCTAGAGGGGCAGGTGGCGATACACACAAGAGGAAATACATATCAGCAAGTAAAAAGAGTCTTCAGAACCTGCTCTATTTATGGTGTTACTTGATTATAGGTGGCCTACCGTGGAGTAAAGATAAGCCGTAAGGTGCCAAAAGGCCCATGTTCTAACTTCTTCACACAATTATAATCATAGAGGTGTGATTTGTGAAGGCATTGCCTTGTTTCTCTTAGATTACATATAGAGCCAAAACAAAAGCTATTTAAAACTCCTGTCATTTTTATCTCATATTGTTCGAATTTCAGTTCTGGAATTGACAAAATTTTGCAAGGAGAAAGGTGTCAGACTGATTGTTGGAGGCCGGGGTTGTGTTTGTGATGTTCACAGTGTTGTCATGTAAGAGCTGCTCTTGTCCAGTGTGTGGCTCAGACAGGTTAGGCCTGACAGGCAGCCAGCAACAGCAGCAGCACAGATACATGGTGAGCTTCAGTGTGGTCCACAGCAGCATCAGGAGCAGAGACACTGCACACACTTCCTGTGACTGTGTCCACCCTGTGTCTTTATACTGTTCTCTACAGGTGTGTCCTCCAGGATTATGGGCTGCTCCCACAGCACTAGGCCCAAACTAAACATGGACAGGGACAAACTGCTCAGAACACATATCAGATTACCTTGAATATTTATACCCAATTGTTAAAAACGTAGTGTTGACCTTTTTGTCTTGTGCATTTTTTGTCTACAACTTTAGGCTTGCAACATTCTTTGAACCCATTTAATTTATTGTAGACACAAGAATTAAAATTTTTCCTCTTCAAAGGTTAAAGTGAGACATAAACACAAATAATATCATAAATTATATTTATAGGACATTCAAATGTCAACACAGCATTAAGTAAGAAAATAAAGTTGGTGCCTTTTTATTTACAAAAAGTCATCTGTACAGCTTTTGTATAAAATACCGAGATATGCATTTAAATCAACCTTTCTTATTCTTTCTAGTTTCTTTTTACACATGTTTTTATATTGGAGCAGATCCAGGTCTAACCAGGAAGTAATCCATCCTGTTTATACTAGCAGCAAATAAGTATTAAAACACTTAAATATAATCATGTTCAGTTTTAGTGAAATGAATAATCATGTCACACGTCATATGCACTTTAATGCACTTTTACTTTGTCCAGGTAAACCTGTTCAAACCAAGCTTCATTGGGTCTTTTTGCAGTGATCTTTGGACTTCTCTAAACTCCATGCTGCGGCTCTGTCTCTCCCTCCTCCTCTCTTTCTGTTTGGAGCTGCTCCTCTTCTTCCTTTAGCTTGCTCTTCTCATTCTGACACCTCCTCAGACAGTCTTCACACAGCTGGTTCTCCGTCACCATGTAGTGTTTGGATGTTACTGCTATGATTTCCTGTGGAGGGTGCTCCTGTGTCTGCGCAAGGCTCAGGGGGTTGCGCTCCAGGTTGACCCTCTGCAGATTCTCCAGGCGGGTGAGGCAGCGGGGGGGCTGGGTGAAGCGGTTGTCAGACAGGCCTAGGTGGCGCAGTTCCTTCAGGTTGCCAATAGAGGCTGGTAGAGAGTCCAGTTGGTTTAAGCCCAGGTTCAGAGTGAGGAGTTTTTTGAGGAGGCCCATCTCGTCTGGCAGGAAGGTCAGGCGGTTGTTGCACAGGTTTAGAAGAACCAGGTTTTGAAGGCGGCCGATGGTGACCGGGACCTCCCCCAGCTGCAAACACAAATACAGTCTGTGAATGTTCTCCATGAATCAAAAGTTTGTGACTTTAGACACATTGTAAGCTATTGTGAGTTTTGATCTAGTAACTAGGAATGGTCTGGTATGTATTTTTTTTTAGCTCACATGACATTTGACTTGGTCTTGTGGCTAATAAACGATATTTGCCGAAACCAATTTGCTTGCTATTTCACAGCAACAACCAAAAAGCTAAACTAAGCTAGTAAGGTCCACAAATGAAGTTTTTGCTGTTATTAAAATGGCAAAGTATATCTATGTTATAAAATTATTTGCTGCCATATTTTTAGCCTAATTGCTTTTCTGTTTCCATTTTCACTCATTATGCTGAAATGTGTGTAATGCATGTATTGTTGATCTAGTCCTTAAAAGGCAAAAATCAGTAAAAGCAGTTTTTCTCTGTATTTTCACTGGAAAACCCTTCACTGTGTAAAAAATATGCTTGGAGCGTCATTTGGGTTGCACACTCCAGTCTGCGAAACTACAGGCAGGCAAATGAAATGAGCCAGGCAGTTTTCTTCACAGGACACTTTGCATGTCATTCTACTACAAAATGAGTTTGCAGTGTTATGTGTTTGCAGTCTGTTTTGGGCAAATCTGATGCACCGAGAACAAACTAGGAATGACACACACAGACAGGGACAGTGCAGAAAAAAATACTGGTGCCAAATATCAGTTAAATTTCCAATAAAGGACTGACACATATTTGTGAAGTTCCACTGATATCACTGATTCCATCAATAACATTCTTAGTCAATTATCAAAGCAATAAGGCATCCTCCCTAAAACCATGATGTTGCCTTCTAATAATAATCCACTTCATCAAGTAATAAAAACACATTTTATAATAATTTGCTGCATTATTTAATAAACTATATATATTTTTTGAGACAAATTATTAGTATTTGTCCTTTAACTCAAAGATTTGGAGTGTGAGTTTAATCAGTGGCAACTTTTTAATGTCCGAATTTAATATAAACATGGTATCTAAAAGGTGTAATTAAGGTTATTACATGGCACTTAGAGTAAAGGGAGAAGGTTTCGTTTGTTGTAGTTGAAGGACTTTCTTTGCAGCCACCCTTGACATTAGTGGTTGGTTATATAATGTAATAGCTTTGCCCGCGACAAAATACTTCAATAATGACCCCTTCACAAGAACTTGAGACTCAAGCAACATGATGCTCCCTCAATCTTATTTTGACAGACAATTTCTAGGAATTACAATGCACTTCACCTGATGAGAAAGCCTAAACCAGTGCATCAGATTCATAGAGTAGAATTTGACTAGACTAACTACTATATTAATCTTACAGGGAGGTATGGGCTTGTTTTATGCTTACAATTTTATACTTGTTCAATTGTTGCATTTTTTTTTTTTAACCAAAATGTGTCCTTGGTTAACTTTTGTCTTCAAGGTTTGAGACACCAAACCAGTTTCATTTGGTAGTTTGTTTACGACTTATTAATAGAGTCACAGCTACTAATAAGAGTAATTATAGGTCTGTCATACAAGTCATACAAATATAATTACAACTTAAAGGTGCACTGTCTTTTTGGTTGGAGGCCCCTCAACTGCTTAAATCCCAGGATATGTCACCGCTCTGCCTGGAATGTTCCACAGTATGACAGTAAACAGCTCTACTTTACATTTATTCAATTACAGGTGGTTTTATAGCTCAAGAATACCTCCAAAAATAGGCATTCTGACTGTGAGTGTGGTTGTCTCTTCACATATCTGACCTGTAACCTGAGAGAAAGATTAAATTCCATATTGTGAAACATTCCAGCTAAAGCAATAGCATCTGACAGAGCCTCTACCACAAAGGTTACGCAATGTACCTTTAATAAAAGAAATAAGTTAGCTGACTTCCACATTTGAAAACTGCGGTGCCCAATGGGAACAAACATCGCTGTAAATATCATCGCAGTAGAGAACGCTGTAGCTGTTGGCACCTCCTATGGATAGCTGCAGATCATGCAGATTACTGTGATGCTGCCGAAGAGTGCCAAGAACACTGGGCGTATGATGGTGGTAGTAAAAATTGGAGTTGATCAGTGATATGACATCTTGAAATTAAGTGATTAAAGATTTCTCAAACATGCACAAATCACTTTAAATACAATTTTGAAAGGCTATGTGAGGAGAAACAACTATAACATGGATAAACGCTCTAAAAAGTCTGCTTTAAAGTTTTTCTTTCCAAATAAGTGCAACAATTTTCAAATAGAAATGTTTAGAAATAACAAAATAATTATTGTTTTCTGTCTTATGACCTACATAATATAATCTTGTATATATGGCCTCTTGTACTCACGTAGTTACTATGCAGGTCGAGCACAGTGATGGTGGCGAAGCACTCTATGAAGTCGGGCATCTTGCGGATGAGATTGCGGCTCAGGTCCAGCTGGTCCACCTCACTGAGCTTCTGGATGCTCTTGGGCACTTGGGTGATCTCTTTAAAACTCAGATTCAGACAGCGCTTCCCATCCAGTGTCTGCTCCACACAGTTCTGCGCCATCTTCAGGGTGATGGGCTTCCCCTTGGGCTTCTTGGATTTGGCGTCGTTGACCATGCTGCTGTGAGGACAGAAGAGTAAGGAGGTCGGTACTTAAACGCCAGGTAACAAAGTGCTGAAGGGACGGCCCACTCACAGATTGTGTTACGCACTATACCCAGACAGTGTAACTAAAGACTAAGGTTTATGTTTCTGGACAGATAACATGAGCTGCGCTGAATCCTCCTGTCACAGCTGACTGTGGAGGAGAGAATTTTGATTGTGATCATTGACAGTTATAATCTGAGCCTCTCAGCTGTTATCTCATGTCTAGGAAACTGGATCCTGTGTTTATTCCATTAGAGTGTTATCACCATACTGCGTTTTTAAATGTGATTTCTGTACTAAGAACATAGAGAAAAATCCCACACACCATCTTACTTACAAATTTTGGAATTTATTACGACATAATCAACGTTTTGGCACTAGGCCTTCATCAGGCAAATAGAGAAAGATCTCAACTGGCCATCTTAATTAGAATGTAGCAAGCACCCAAGGGTGTCAGGTCGTTAAAAGAACAGTGTCCCCCAAAAAACATAATCCAAAATACAAAAGGCAATCAGCACATATAAACTGTGATATAAATTATTATAATAAAAATAATACTAATACTAATAATTGAAAATTATTAAGTATCTGAATACATATTGACATTGTATATTCACCCAACTATGGAGTAGAAAAAATTAAATTAAAAAATCATGACCTTTGGGAGCTAAAATTCAGAGGGTATGAATCCGTATCCTTTCAATTTGATTTATATAGCACATCCTCCCTTTGTTTAAGTAGACAGTTATGGTCCTGTCGTCTGAGTGGAGGGGGACATGCTCAGTGTCACAGAAACAAAGTGAACAAATGTCATTTCTGTGATCATTAAAGTGCACCACTACAGGATAATCTCTGTCATTCCTCCTGATGGAGCTCGTGTGCTCACTAACTCTCTGTTTGAGTTTCCTTGTGGTCTTATCAGTATAAATAGGCTGCATGGACATGTCAACATGTAGACAACATGTGTGGATGCATGTGTGATGACACTTTTGATGGGATTTTTCTTCCCTTTGTGCAGGTATCAAAAGTGGTCAGTTTTTGCTGTATTTTCACATTGAGCACAGCTGCCACAGCGGTACTTGTCATTGGGGAGAAGATGCAACAGAGATTGAGAAGATAATTTCGAATTGCTTGTGAAATTGACCCATACCAGATCATCTCTAAGATTTTTACCTCGTTTATTCACAAAGAGTGGAGAATCTTTAAAGATGGATGAGATTTCCAAGTCTGATTTCAAAATCTGCCAATGTTTCAGGAAGATGGATTTCATTGCATAATTGCATAATATTACCATACCTTTTTTACCTACATATCCAAAAAGCTTACTTTGTCAGAACTGAATTGTGCAGTGAGTAGAATGTGATTTTCAACCTCAATAATAGTACTTTCTTTTTTATATGACCATGCATGTCTTATCTGTGCTATGCCTCAGTGGTCTGGGTAGGTTCCATAGTGGTCCATGGATGTATACGAGTCTATTTGTTCTGATACAGCTCAAGATGGTTCTAAAGGTATTCAGGCAATGTAAGTTTTTGTCCTGTGAATGTGACTTTTTTGTTGTTGTTGCTTTTATACCTGCTTAAATGAGTATCTACTTTAAAAGAATAGTTTTAGTATTAATTAATATCTGAGTTTCAATACTTAAAATATTGTATATAATATATCTAAACTAGAAAAGCACTCAGAGAGCGCAGACCTCTGCCAAGGACTACCCCCATTTTTTATATAAATTGCGATAAAATCAGTCTTGTGGATCAGATCCGGATCAGCCTTTGGAATATGAAAGAGGATCCCATTGTCCATCCCTGAGTCAAATTTCATGGGGTTTGGTCAATAATTAACCGAGATATTGAGAAACAAAATTTTTTGGCCCCATTTACCACAATGTTAACTAAAATTTCAAAGTGATCCAGAATCCAGGATTTCTTCCGGATCACCCCCAAAATGAAATCAGTTCTTCCTTTTCACATTTCCAACAAATCCTGAAACAAACAAACAAACAAACAAACAAACAAACAAACAAACGCCGGCAAAAACATAACCTCCTTGGCGGAGGTAAATATTATTCCACTCTTTTCTGGACAAAGCTTACTTGTGGGCATTGGAACAGATTAACACAATGCCTTTTTGCAATAATAAACCATAAATATTACATTGCCAATAGCCACATACATTTTCTGCTGTCATAATACAATAACAAAACACCAACCAAAATATGCCAAAATGTCAACTTAAAACGTGTTATGGCACAATAAAGTAAAGATTTCTTACCTGTTTCATGGATTAGGACAGAACCCCAGTCCAGTTTAGAGTGAGGGAATTAGGTACGATATGCACTTGACATAAAGCCAACTCCTTCAGTTTCAGTTTCGCCTGCTAAAGGTAATATACAGATTTGGCAGTAAAGACATGCTGAGGCGCTCAGTGCTCTGGTCTCAATTCAGGATTTGTTTGGTGTAGTTCCCTAGCAACAGTTTGAGCTCCCGCTAACACCTACAAGTTTCACTAGGCTGCTAGTTTTATTGCTAAAGCAGGCTGCAATGAGCCCTACATTTTTGCAGAAATGTTGGAATACATTTAAAAAAATGACAAAGTTTAGAATATTATGTTTTAAATTATATATATTATATATTATGTTTTTACTTGATCCTACTCATAATAAACTTAATAAAAATGAAATCTAAACATCTTGTAGTTTTAAATGTTGCTATATTGTGAATTCGTAATATACATGCATATATGTTATGCATCTGTGGTATTCATTTGATAATATTTGACAGTAAGTGTAAGTGCCAGTAGGTGGTGCTGCTATTATGTATATCAGTAGCACCAGCAGAGGCCTGTGCAGATGATAAACCTCAACATTTTCAAATTTTGCTATAGATAAAATGTAGGTTATGTAAAAGGATTATGTGAGGACATGTAACTATTGTCTATAGTGTAAACCACTTGTTTAAGCTGTCAATCCACAAAGCTATTTGTTAAAGTGCATTCCTTATCATGTGTTGACTTATTGATGAGAACTAGCTGGCGCTGGTGTAATATGCATTATTAGCAGAGGTACTTCCTGGGTGAGTGTGAAAAGCAGGTCACATTGAAGGAAATGGCGTTGAGGGGCTAATCACAACACAATGGTTCAGATTGCTTTTGCTGATTAGAAACACGAGCCCACTGGGTCTGTGTAGTTATGCATGGATGAATGCCAACACCGCTTTTCTGCAAGTAATGAAAGAACCTGTTGTCAGTCATACTGTACTAACAGACAAACCCCCTGCTACGTTACACAAGATCAACTTTTTATACAAGAAAGGGAGTACAGTATCCTCATAAGGGAGAGGAGCCCCCTTGAGGTGGATGCTTGTACTGCATGTGTCCTGATCTCTGTAAAGGTGATGTGGCTCAAACGTTTGGAAACAAGGGGCTTCAGATAAACAAGGGAAATAAAATGTTGCATTGCAGTGCTCACTGCTGACAGATTTCCCTAGTGGCAGTAAAGGATGGGTCAAATGCAGAGGACAATATGGTTTACAGGGATTATGTTGCTTTATTGTTATTGTATCAGTGGCATAGTTCTAAGTCGTTTAACTATTATTGTTTATTGCAGTATATTTCAGTACTAATATATCCAGCTTCAAAATATTTCAGCATGACAGGCCAATGTATAAAATGCAAGAGAAAATTTGGATGGAATTACTGTTAACTTTGCCCAGGGTTTTCTTTCTCAAACCTTGTCTTTCTTTTGTCCCTTTGGGTCTAGCTGCAGCGTTTGAGACATGACTGGGTCTGCTGGGTGACTGATGTGTTTTGGATGTTTAGGAAAGCTGGCACCGCAGGAGCAGAGGCGGCCCGTGTTTATCTGAACCCTGAACGCATGCGGCTTCGTCTTCCTTTAACTACGTCCCTGTTGTCCTCCCATCCACACTTGGCTTCACTCAGCTCTTCTTGTCGCTTTAGTAAATGTTTGCCTGTATTTCCTGTGCAAAAACTCAAAATAACCCATGTTTGAGAAAGTGTTTTGGGCAGCTATTGTGAGGTGGTAATGTAATGTCTAGGCTTGGATCAGTTTTTCCTGGAACAGTAAACACTAAAATATCAGTTTCTAAATTCAAGACAGAACATGTTGATATGGATACGCTTATGTCTCAGGGACAGTACAATAACAAGTTGCTCCTGTTGTTTTGACTAACAAAGGGAGACACTCTGCTTCCTCAGCAACTTTTTATACTTGATATCTTTCTTTATTTTCTGTCTGTCTGTTGTATTGGGCCTTTGTTGCATTGGGACTTTGTGGACGAGTTTAGAGGCGAACCATCTTTCCGCACACTTGAACTGTTTGTGTGCACTGTAATTGTGAGCGATACCATCCCACCTGTGGAATGCTTTTGACAGTCAAAACATGATGACTGATCCCAATGTGCCAAAACATGTGTATTACTTGTAAACAGCTTTTAGTAGCTATTGAAAATCTCACTCTGTGATCCTGTAATATTGACATCACGTGTGTTACAGCTTACTGGTCTCAAGGTTATGGGAATGAAATGAATTAACACTGCCCTGAAAAACTTAGTGTGAATAGGCTTGCATCTCCACAAACCTAACTCTTACCGTACTTTGACTTGGCTTTTTGCTTTGGAGATGTTGTTCCTCTGGCTATAATATTGAAGAGTATGGCATAAAACTTATCTCCATGTCCAATGTTTCAAAGCCAAATACAAAAAACAACAAGATTCCCTCCCTATCTCACTGGCCTCCTCCGTCTGCACCGTCCCACCCGACACCAGCCTCCTCACTCCCCTCATCAGGACAAAGCACCGGACCTTGGGGGACAGAGCCTTCACCGCCGCTGCCCCCTCCCTCTGGAACTCTCTCCCACAACCCATCAGGAACTCGGACTCACTGCAGCACTTCAAATCACTTTTAAAAACTCACCTGTTCAAACTGGCATTCCCTCCATGAGTCCCCCGTTTTCT